CATGAGACGGAGGATAACAACATATCATGCCATCGCTGTCCGTGACACGTCGCATGCCGTAATCACACGGCATACCATGACCAGTGACGTCACACCGCGAGAACATGAGACGGAGGATAACAACATATCATGCCATCGCTGTCCGTGACACGTCACAGGCTGTCATAGCACGCCATGCCATGACCGAGGACGACACACCGCGAGAGCACGAGACGGAGGATAACAAGATGGCCGACTCACCCGAGGTCGTGCTGGTCGTCCGCCAGACCGAGCGAGACGACAGCAGTGCCACCTAGCTGCAGTAATCGCCGATACAGCCGCTTCGCGACGTAGTTGAACCTGGAACAAATGGGGTAGCTAATTACACACTGTAATTGCTAAGAGTAACGGCTGGTAACTGCGTGGAGTAAAACTAAGTGGTAAAATTGTGGTCAATTGAATTGCGATAATTTTATGACACAACGAATTAAATTGCCAGCAATTTGTTTTTAAGAGCATACAGCAAGTAAGACCCTTTGCACGAGTAGTAAACTTTGCTTAACCTATTGCATTTTCAACGCAGGATGGCTTTTCAGACCGGCATCTTATATTTAGCAGATATTAAGCACCAACGTTTAAGCCCTTCCTACCTCCGCCTCTGATCAGGATGTAAGAACAGAAATTCACACGTTCAAACACAAGCAGACACTATTCTACAATACCCCGAACATCAGATCATGCGAGAAAAAACGAAAACAAACGTTTTACTTTTGATAGGACGAGTCCCCAAGACCGAGCACAGCAAAGTTCACAGCAGCGAGAGATGACGTGGGCAGGTTTTTTCTTAGAAGAAATCGCCAAAATGCCTGCAATATGCAATCGCAAACGTAATCACTTTCGACGAAACATCAAAACATCGTTCGTACGTCGCGACGAGCGTATATCCCTGGACGACAAGCGATAAGAGGCTTATCGAAATCCACGCGCGGGGGACATCTCAACGAACAATGATGACGTCGCCGACACGTCGATTACCGACCACGACAATCCGCCTCCGTAATCCGCTTTCGTTTTCTTCATTTCCTTTCATTTTTCCACTTTGATTACCTTCATGTTGTCAGGCTCCTCTCCCTGGCCTGTCGTGGCGCAGAGGAAGACGACGACCTGCTCTCTCACCATGTCAGCCTACGAATGAATCGACAAGTAGACACGCATTACCACCATTGCTATTGAATCGGCTATATTGCATTTATCAGATTTAATCATTTTACCTGTCTGAAATGTGACGTGTACGGTGTAACAAAAAATTTGTAGTAGTATGTCATACTACCATGTATTCTGTTATCATACACTTGTTATCTTACATTTGTTTGATATCTGTTTAAGAGCTATTTCAAGAGCTCATGTTATCCTGTAAAGGCTGTAGGCCCCGTACCAATGAAAATAAAAATTACTTTACTTTACTTTACATTATTGTATTTATCCGATTTTTTTCTCCATGAAAAAGACTGTCTTCAGTACATGTGTTTGTATTTGAATTACATGCAATAAAGATTAAATAATAATAATAAGTCAAGCCTACGCTTCTACAAAATCAATTAACTACCATCATGTGATAAACAACTGCTAATATTAGTGATGTCCTGATGATCGATTATAATCGAAAGTCAGTTGTATACAGCAACCGACTAAGCGCTCGATTATAAAAATAAATAATCGATTATAAAAAAAAATAAAATTTAAAATAAAATTTGCAAACATTGATGAAATGACTCTTTATTTTATTTGTGTGTGTTTTTTTGTTAATTTACAGCTTGGAGACAGTAAATCTAACCTACACCAAACATAAGCAAGTGTGATACTGTTACATGGCTTTTAGAATATTGTATTATAAAAAATACTGTATTATATGATATATGATATATTTCAATATCTGGTAGCTGCGATCAATAATATTCAACCGATTATCTTCGATCGTCAATCGGTTGGGTGGAACCGATGATCGATGATGAAATTCCAACCGATTCCCATCACTAGCCAATATGTTCAACACGTACGATGTACATAGACGTGCATTAGCCGAGATTAAACTTCTACAAAATTACTAATAATAATCTGATACTATAAATAACTAGAGCACTCAAAGAGCACAGACCTCCGCCAAGGCAGCTGAATTCTCTCAATGTGAATTTTTTTATTAATTCATTAATTAATTAAGTGGGAAAATTAATTAATTAATTAATTAATTAATTAATTGGATCCGGATTAGTGCGAGCGTGCAGGTGGGGGAGGACTGTGGTTGCCCCTTAGCCTGTGTTTGTAAGTCTACAGCCAGCGCACCTAGCGGAAGTGAACTGAAACGTGCATGGTAACAAACACACACACAAACCAACACTCAATGGCACGCCGGTGAAAACATAACCTCCGCCACGCCACTGGCGGAGGTAATAATATGTTAAACGATTGCCAATACGTTTGGTACGCACGACGTGAATAGACGTGCATTAGACGAGCTTGGAACTTCTACGAAATCACTAGCGTAACACATAAAACAGTTGCCATTATGTTTGGCAGTAGAGGTAGGATGATACGGGTAGCTCACGATACAATCTGTATCACGATACAGCCTTCACGATATGATACGTGTTGCGATACTTTTAATATACACTACTTAGCAAATTATACACTTCACCGGGACTCTACCAATCTTGTGAAAGCTTACAAATCAGTACCCTGAGGCGCTAGGCAATCAACTGCTATGGAATTGCAAATTGTCTTACGTTACTAATGTTTTTAGATGAAACTATGCCACTAAATAAAATGGGCAGTTTTAGTCAATAGTATTAGAATTTAGAGTATCGATACGTGTGTCGTGAATGGTCGAACGTATCGATATGTGTATCCTCAAGGTTTGCATTGTGATACAACGACGTATCAACGAATCGTTCCACCCCTACTTGGCACGTACGATGTTATAGTCGTCCATCGCCGAAACTTTCGTAGCGAAGTGGCGTCGCTTCGCCTCTCGGCCCACCCGCTCGGCCACCTCCTGCGTCGTTCCCGTCTGACTCCCGTAGAGAATCGTTAACGTCCTCGACCCCTCCATCATTCGCTCTACGATCACGGCTCTCTCGCGCAAACTCAGCACTCGAGGTCAGCAAAACTACAACACACAAAAGGAGAGGTGCGAGTCGAATAGTTTTGTGCGTTAAAGCATTGTGAAATCTCGCTTACTTGTTTGGTACTTACCAGAGAAGGGCCGTAGCCTGTGGTGGTGGTGGGGGGGGGGAAGGGAGGCACCTGTCGTGCCTATATTTTGCAGCAAAATAAAAAAAATAAGCTTAGCTAATAATCGTAAATTACCCTAATGTGATTTTTTTGCGCTTATCCGTGAAAGCCTCGTCTCAGACCCACCCGTACCACACTATGGACGTCGATCAAGAGCTGCGCCCGTCGCTCATCATTACACAGTTGACTCAGTTAAGTCATAAAATTTGGCCCCTCCTAGGAATTTGCTCAGCCTACAGCACTGCAGAGGCATAGCTAACCCATGTTGCCCGGGGGGCAAAGCCACGTGCGGGTTGCGTTCTGGGCAGGAGATCGTGGGCAATTCGTTATTGAACATGTAGCAGTATCTATATTTCTCTGGCGTAAGGAGGCAACTGCCCCCTCCCCCCTTGCCCATTGCTAGCTATGGCCTTGCTTACACATACTTGGGTGACACTGAGTTTACGATACCACATGATTTGATCAGCATGATCATTTGGTTTGTTACATAAGATTTTGATTTTTAAATAACAATACAATAGCAACAATAACAGCAACACGTCAAAGTCACAGGCACTTGGAACGTCTCAATAAAAAAAAAAAAAGGTAAATAAACACGAAATGTATTTAGTACCAAAGTCTTAATGTTTCTCTACTCTATGTCGCCTATTATTGCCGATAATTACCCGTAAATGCCGGTCAAATGCTCATCTGCAACACACAAGTACACCGCACGCCCGTCCTGTGAACAAACAACGTAGCAGGTAGAAAAGCGTGATCGCAAAATTCGCTCGACGCTCGCTTCATTTCACACCTTCACAGCACGAATACACATCCAACAGCTTCCATCTTGGTATCTATGTGTAGCTAAATGTTCACTTGTTCAAATTATAACTCTGTCCTTTGTCCTTACCTACTCCCGCCAGAGATATCTCATGAAATCCTGCAGGAAATTTTCTCTCCGTGAAAATGTAAAGAGAATGTAAAGAGGACGAGATCTCTGTTTATACACGAGTAATGGCGGCGCATTGCATGCCGGGATGAGCTGCTGCCTGCCTCCGAGCCTCCGTTTTGAGGCCCACCAAGCCAAGCATAATGCGCGCGGGCATGACGTCACACACACACGACTACAGTGATCGATCGAAAGTAGCGCCGTTAGGGATTTTCGGATGATACGTCCTCTACATTTTCACGGAGAGAACATTTCCTGCAGGATTTCACGGGATATCTCTGGCGGGAGTAGGTAAGGACAAAGCACAGAATTATAATTCGAACAAGTGAACATTTAGCTACACATAGATACCAAGATGGAAGCTGTTGGATGTGTATTCGTGCTGTGAAGGTGTGAAATGAAGTGAGCGTCGAGCGAATTTTGCGATCACGCTTTCCTACCTGCTCTCTTATTCATGTTGTTTGTGCACAGGGTGTGCTAGATACAATAATGTAACCCAACAAGAGTAGGGTAGTAGGGTAGTAACCCCTACTCTTGTTGAGTTACATTATTGTATCTAACTATCTAAGAGCGTGCGTGCGGTGTAATTGCATGTTGCAGATGAGCATTTGACCAGCATTTACGGGTAATTATCGGCAATAATAGGCGACATAGAGTAGAGAAACATTAAGACTTTGGTAGTAAATACATTTCGTGTTTATTTACCATAATTTTTTTTTATTGATATGTTACAAGTACCTGTGCCTGTGGTCAAAGTGGTGTGATGTGCAAGCATAGTTGCTATTATAAGTATCAAAGTAAGCGGATTCTGATTCAAATTTCAATGATTCATACTACAGTCTACACTACTGTACAGTGTACTATACAGCTAGTACAGTCCTGGTCAACAATGTCATTCACTCATTGTCAACAAAACATGATTATACACATTAGTCATTACTGTCATTAGTCATTACACGTTATACTTATAGTTACCTACCCAAATAACTAATTAATTGATTGCTTTTGGCATTGGTTCCGTCTGAAATTGACATATGAATGACGCCAAGTAATAATCTGAGTAACTAGATTAAAAATTTTACCAAATAAACATATGAAGGGGAATATCTGTGTACATTTTATTATCAGCTGGTATTTACTCAGGCCATGGGCGCTGCCATATTGAATGTAACCTCTCGCAAGAATCATGACACGAAATTAACCTGAAAGTTTTCTGCGATAGTTTTACGCTACAGAGACGTGGAAAAATTAATTTCGAGCTCCCACGGTTCTTTGCTTACATGACCCGACTACATAACAATTTTTTGCTTTACAGGGAATGTTTTAACGAAGATAAAATATATTTATGAGATTCATACGATAGCTCTGCAGGAGGCTCAACATCATCGTTATTTGTCGACTTTTGTAACTATTCCGTATTCGTTGGATTTTTTTGGCAAAATCAACACCCGGCCTTAGTGAAAAACGGGAAACTGATACTGTAAGTTATGGATGAGATCAACATGTAATCATATTCCAGTAATTGAATTGTGCATGTATTGCACAATCCTCTCAATTGCACGCCTAATTCACTGACCCTGGCTCTGAACGCGGTCAAACTCTAAACACTAACACACGTAGTACTAACACACTACTAGTACTACTAGTACTAGTACATACTAGTATTACTACATAGCCACAGCTAGTCAGGCAATAATCTCATAAATATTAGTCTTCAAAGTCCAAGGGACATATAGTCCAGGTCCCAAGATGGTCCAAATAGACAGATTAACACTGCGGATTGCAGTAGGAAAAGCCTCAACTTTGCAATTAACCAAAAAGGAAGCTTGGAAGGGAGTGACAGAATGTCAGAAACAAAGAAGCTAAACATAAAGGGATTCACGTGGCACGTGACACGTGGAAGATGGCACGTGTCGAAAGCAATGATCACGCTCAGATGATCGAATAATAATCAGATGATCAGATAGTTGCGATTATCAATGAGTAATTTAATCTAATATAAGCCTACACCTGATTAGCGACATAAATGATATCCATGCTTTAACCACGATTGTTTGTGTCATGTCAGCGGCCGAGAAATTAAGATTTCGAAACTCGCTGTTGTTTTATGACAATTGTGAATGCATGATTATAAAAATTTGTAGTTATATACTATTATTTATGCAATTTATGCACTCACTATCATCATATAACCTAAAATTCTAAGGTGTAGTATTCCTTTAATATACTATTGCATACTTTAACTACGATTGCAGGAAACAGGAGCAGAAGTCCGTCGCCAATGAGTGGACGATCATCATGACACTGGCGCGGCTTTGTATCGCGTTGGTCGCCGTGGTAACGTGCGCAGCCGCCGAACGCGTCTCGCTCACTCTCAACGGCAGTCCGCTCCCGCCAGATGGCATCACCGTTAACGCGTCAGACCTGCAGCGCTTCGAGTGCGTCGCGACGGACAGCGCCGCCGTCGCCAACGTCAGCTGGCTGCTAGGGGGCGCCGACGTCACCGCATCCGCCGCGACGTACGTTGGCGTCGCGGTCGCCGGCGGCAACGTGACGACGACTAGCCGCCTCTCCTACCGCGTTCCCGCGAGCGCGGACGGCAGCCACGTCGAGTGCATCGCGGTGACGCGTGAAACCCCGCGCGGCAGGCGCCTCGGCGCCGCTCTCGACGTCCACTACTTCCGCGGCGGTGTCCGCATCGTCGCCGGCGGCAACAACGCGACGACGCTCGAGCCGCGGCAGACGCTGCGGCTGCGCTGCGTCGCCGACGCGAACCCGCCTCCCACGTACGCGTGGTACTGCGGCGGCGCGCGCCTCCCGGACCGCGGGGCCGCGTTCTCGCGCGCCGCCATCACGTACGCCGACGCGGGCGACTACTACTGCGAAGCGTCGAATGCGGTCGCGCGCCGACGCTCGCCTCCCGTGCGCGTGCGCGTCAACGGCGCTCCGAGCTTCGCCGAGCCGTCAGCCGAGCGTACGGCACGCCTCGACCACGACGTGCGCATGGCCGCATCGTTCTGCTCCCGGCCGCGCTACCACACCGCCTACTGGGAGTGGGACGGCGGCGACGGTCTCATCGACCTCACTACGGCGGCCGACGGCAGCGTCGGCGGACGCTTCAAGGCGGAGATCGTCGTCGACGGCAACAGCGGCGGCGGCTGCTACCGCGCGGAGCTGCTCGTGCTGCAGGCGCGCGAGAGCGACATCCGTGTGTACACGTTCGTCGTGAACAACGGTGGCGGCGACGCGCGGTTCGACGTGACGGTGCGGGTTCGCGCCGGCATCAGCTCGCCCGCGGTGCTCGTGCCGATATTCGGCGGCCTCGCGCTCATCCTGTGCGTGCTCGGCATCATCGCGTACGTGCGCAAGATCTGGTGCTTCCGGCTGCGCGACGAAGCGCCGCTGGAGGCGGACGAGGAGGAGGGGAGGCTGACGGAGTTAGAGGCCAGCGCGGAGGCGTCGGTGGCGGCGACGGCGACGGAGAAGAGGAAGACAGGTGGCGCCAGCGGCACGGCGCCGATCGAGCTGCAGACGTTTTGCGACGTGGGGCCGTCATCTGTCGCGTAGGTGTGACGGGGAGGGAGCGAGAGAGAGAGAGAGAGAGATAGAGAAAGAGAGTTATAGATATAGACAGAGAGAGGGAGAGATAGGGAGAGGGAGAGTTATATATATATATCAGAAGTAGATAATAGGCAGGGTTTTCCCTACGTTGCGCAAACGGGGCGCGCGCGCCCCGTTAGAGGAATCCCCCCCTGCTTTGCAATCGTTTGGCCCCTCGATTTTACGCAATTAATTAATGGTCGGATTAAAACAAAACACCCCCGGACCCCTTCCCCCTCCCCTTCCCTGTCGTTAAATTTCATCCTGGCGGACAAACCCTGATTAGGGAAGGGAGTGTGACTTTCAATAACCACGGGAAATTCCCGTCATTTTACTAATAGCCTTAGAATCGCTATCCATACGATTTACTACGCTGTACTCAACAAACTTTGAGCTCACAATCGATACACAGTTATCATTGCGCTAGCATCGTGCGAAATTGTTTTCTCTATACACCCGCAATCTAGGAGCATACAGACGTAAACACATACGACACGAGATTCTCGCCTTCTGTTGCCAGGCAAACCGAATGTATAACCGTCTAACTTGGAACAAAAGAGCAGCTACTAACGACTCTTGCCGCACTCTTGTTGCTTCGGCCGATGCGGCGTGGGTCGCTGAGAGCCGATATGGACATCGATGCCAACGACTCGGCGACGTCATCTTTGACCATTTACAGCTGAGTTATGCCCCCCACGCACGCCCACCCAGGGTCAGCTCAGCACAGCTCCATCTCAACTCTCCCAATTACTTCTTGATGGTATAATATATATATAATATCTAGAGAGGAGAGAGAGAGATCGACGCGAGAGAAAAGAGAAGAGAGAAAAAGACGAAGATAGGAGCGGAGGGGAAGACCTGAGAGATCGAAAGAGACATAGGGAGAGGGAGGAGAGGCGAGTATATATCATAGAGCAACTAACGACCGAGAGAGAGAACGAGAGAGAGAGCAGAGAGAGAGAGAGCAGAGGGAAGACACGAGCTATAATATACATATAATATATATATATATATTATAATTTATATATATAATATACTATCAGAGAAGAAGGAGAGAGAGAGATAGCGCAAAAGAGAGATAGTCAGGCAGACAGATGGATAGTTGCTGGGGCGAGCATTTCATTACACCAATGAATCGTGTTGTTCTACTGTTGTGTGTGCTTGTTCCGTACGTCCAATCTATTCTGCATTTGCAATACATTCCCCTGGTTCGATCGGTATATATGCTATAGAAATTAGAATGCATTGCGATGGTGGTTGCTACGTTGTTATCCTTGTGAGAAACCAATCCTATATACATAAATATTCGAATAAGTTCATCGAATTTCATGTCAATATGAGAGTAATTTTATTTTATGATAAATTTATGTAATGGATGTATTACATGTATTTGGCATGAAATGGAAATTCTCTTGTGCCCTACACGTAAATTTTCAAAATGCAGACTTTATAAATGAATTTAATCTAGGATAACAGGAAATTCCCAATATTATCTATTCCTATACTTCCATAGGGATTTATTTCTACATCACACAATTGTACATAACATCGTTATCATTTATTAATGTTGGAATTAAATTTGCAATCGTAATTCGTTGAAAGCGCGGTGACGATCATAGGTGAAAATTTTTAAGTTACTCACGTAAACCTCCGTGTGTCGTGCCTGTAGATAGATGTGAGTTTGTCTTTCTTTTGTACATAATAGATGCAAGAGTCGTTGATGAGTGTATCGCCTTGGGCAACCTATACGCACACATCACATTTTGCTAATAAGCCTCGCAGCTAAAAATAATAAGCTTCTGTGTGGGGATAATTTATTGTTAATCACGATTGTTAACTATGTCCGCATACATGTGTTATTATTCTGTATATAATCATAATAAAATCGTTGATTACATAAATTGTACGCTTGCGCTCGCATCAAGTCTCGTCTCTCGCATAGTTACAGTGGAAACACGGTGTCTGGTTTTGCGTTTACGTCATTCGTTAGAAAGATCCTCTTCTTCACACGAAAAGGAAGGGGTGGAAATTATAGAATATATTTTTTTTTATTTGTGAACTAGAACTGAAACTACTTATGAATAAACCTGCATAAGTTGACACCTTTATAGAGAGGACACCTGTATATAAGGGGCAGTGATGGCGTAATTCTTGAGTGGCAGCTATACAGTGAAAGCACCTTTATAGAACGGACAGTCACTCGATCAACTTTTACCTTTGCTCGGGGCAATTCGAAAACTACCTTTTAGCACACAGGCTAAGTCTTTGTAAAGCAATCATTATTATTATTAGTTACTATTATGGTAGTATCATCATCACCATTATTATTATTATTATTATTATTATTAATGTTTGTTGTTGTTGGTTGTTGTTATTCCTTCTTATTACATTTCCTTATGAAAGATCTCAAATTAAATTGCGCTTGAATTTGATTATGATTTGTTATATGAAGCCCCCGAACCCAGCGCCCCCTATACCCGTCACTACCCCTGAACCCAGCGCCCCCTATGCCCGTC